CTGCTAGACGTTACGTATTCGAGTTTTCGGCTCTTCGGGTCTTTAGGTTTTCGTGTCGTCAGTCTGCGGGTCTTCAGGGCCATCTTCGGGCGATCAAGGAAGTCTCCTTATCTTCAGGTCGCCGGGCGAGCGAGAAGGCCTGTAGCAGCCACGTTGGAAGCCTCGATCAAACAACGCCCGTTGCGATTCTCTCGCGGCGATGGAGGTCTGGACCTTCAGCCCTGGACGCTTTGACGGCGAGCTCCGGAGCGACTCACCCACGGTTTGCACGCGGCCTTCTTCACGTGACCTTCGACGTCAGTGCCGTCCACAGTGTCGACAGGCGACGACTACGATGACGACGTTTCGGCCGAGGCTCTGCGGCGGCGTCGGCCGAGGAGGACCCCTCCGCGGCGCGGCCGCTTTGCCGCCTCGGAGCCGGCGAGGAAAATCAAGTGCAGCTCCGCGGCCGTGCATCGGCTCGTGCAGAGGTGGAGGGGAAGCTTGAGGTTGCAGAACAGGTGGTCCCGCCCTTTCGCGCAATCTTGTGGCACCTGGGGCCCTCCGGATCTCGTGAAGGGCACTCTGGAGGAGCTCCGGAGGCAACCCGGGGCCACCCCGGGCCAGGGCCACCTTTGGCAACACCCGAGGAAGGGGGGAGGGGCCGCCAGCGGGAGTGAGGAAAGAACGGGGACCGGACGGACGGCGGCGGAGCGCTGGCGGCGTGCTGGGCGGCGGGGCGGCTGAGCGCGCCCTTCTAGACTCTCTGGTGGTCTGCGGACGGGGGAGGGAGGGGAGGGAGGGAGGCTGACGCCGAAGACGGCCCGAGGCTCGAGGCAGGCACTACGCTGGACCCAGACTCGTCCGCACGTGTCCTGCCTGGTGGTCACCCTCGTTAGCCGTGGCCCAGCTGGGAGGAGGACAGTAGACGCAAATGTGAGGAGGTAGGGAAGAGGGAGTTGATGGTGGAGGGAGGGAGGCAGGGAGGTAGACGGTCGTCGACGTTTCCCATTCGTCCATGCCGACATGTGCGCTTCAAGGTCAATCTGTGGCATGCTCCGTCGATACCACTGTCCGCCATCTCTAACTGTCTCAAGATCAGTCAGACGACTTTGTGCGTGTCCTACGCTTTCGGGAATCGAGAGAAGGAATCAGTGAGGAGTATTGAAGGACGGAGGGAGGGAGGGAGGGAGGGAGGGGCGGAGAGAGGGCAGGTTCGCCAGGTAGGAGACGAGGATGAGAAGGACGGGGGGGAGAAGGAGGGGAGGTGATGGAGGAGGGTGAGAGGGAGGTGTATGGTCCTTAGACAAGGATAGGGGAAGGGGAAGTATAATGAGGAGGACACTCAGGTAAGGAGTGAGAGAGTGAATCAGGAGCTTGTTCCAGGTAAGTAATGATCATGCGGAGCATGATGCCGAGGAAGATTACGCTAATCGTTAGTTCGCCAGGGAGGATTCGGAGAGGGTGGAGGAGGAGGATGAATCGGAAGGGTAGAGGCGAGCAGCGGAGCCAGGAGGAGGATACTCAGGTAAGGAGGTGGGATGAGAACAGGTATATGGCGAACATGGAGAGGATGAAGGATGAGGATCGCCATTCCGGTATCGGAGAACCGGGGGAGAAAGCAGAGGGAGAGATGACAGCAGCAGGGGACAGAGGCAGATGACGAGGGGAGGAGGAAAAGGGATGACAATGTAGGGAACGTGGCCCAGGGAGATCGGACGCAGCGTAATTTACAATGCATCGTGGTCCTGGTAGCGCGGACGCAGTGTCATTTCCGAGGGATCATGGCCTTGGGGGGCAGACACAGTGTAAATTGGAAGTGGCCCTGGGAGCGCGGACAGCGTAATTCTTGACGCTCCGCGTGTCTCCCCCAGCCCCCCTGGCTTCTACTCTGTGTACCCGCTAGCGCTCCCTGGTCACACCCTGCCAGAGCGCCGCGCCATTTTGGCTGCGTCCCAACCGCGGTTGGTTAATTCGCTGCAGTTCAATTCACACCTGGTGGCCCTGCTCTCAGGTTGTCGCACGCTTGCAGCCCCCTGGCAGCCCCAGTAGCTTGCAGCCCCAGCCCCCGGCTCCTCTTGCTGTTCCGGCGCTCAGGCTTCGGCGGTAGGTCTTGCTCTGCTTCGCGCTAGGTAATTAGGCCCCAGCGCGGCCCGCTCGGACCTTGCACGCCGTTGGCGCGCTCGCCTACAGCTGCTAACAACAAATCTCCCCCAGCCTGTATTGCAAGCGAGCTGTCCCCTTCACGGGCTGGGTGGGTGGATGGATGTCTCGTGTGGTTTATCCTACGTCTAGTCCTCGCCGTCAGCGGCCACTTGTCAGCGTTGTGTGCGACTTTGGTGGCGCCACTCCCATGCAATAGTCTCCTGGTCAGTGAGTTCTTCCTGGCCTAGCTGGTGTCAGCGGTATTTCGTGATGGTGCTCTTGGCTTCATGCTGGTATCGCTTCCGCGCCATTTTGGCTGCGCCCCAACCTTGGTGGGCTAATTATGCATGCGCTCGCACCTGGACCTGTTTCCTGGCAGCTGCAGCCCGCACCACCTCTCGCTTCTGGTCCGCTTAGGTGCTGCTTGGGCCACCGTCTTGCCGGCGCGTTAGGCAAGTAGGTTCGTGCGTAGCCCGCTCGTCCCGTTTGGCGCCGCCTGCGCCTTCGTTTGCGGCTGCGACAAAAAAGGGTCTCCCCCAGCCGCTCGGGCTTCTACTGGGACGTGCTGCCGCTGTCTGCTCCTGGGCCCTGCGGTCACCTGGTCCGTACGCGAGGTTTTGGCACCCGTCGGCTGAATAGGTTTTGAGCTCCCTGTCGCCCGCCCACTTACGGCAAGTGCACGGCGTACAGCAAGTTCTAGGTGTTCACCTGCTCGTTCTTCTACCTCTGAGCTGCGGCTTGTGCTTGTTTTCTTCTCGTTCCTTTCAGTTTCCTCTCTCGTTCGCTTCGCTCTCTCTTGCTCTTCGCTTTCTTCGTCGTTTCGCCCCCTCCTGCTTCGCCCGCGGTGCGTGTAGCGCTGGCTCGGTGTAGCGGCCCCTTCCTTTCCGCGCGACCTTACGTCGCCGCGCGGGTGTCCGCTCGCGGTCGCGATCAAAAAAATGCCTCCACCAACCCATCCAGAAACGATGCCCATGAGAGATGACGGGGGGGAGAGGAGAAGAGACACGCATAGTCAAACAGCGAGGGAGGCATGAGAGGCTTCGTGGTCATCTCGAGCCGCCTTGGACCTGTTTCGGGGCCGCTTGGAACATCTTGGGAACCATCTTGAGCCAGTTTGGGCTATCTGAGCCATCTTGGAGGTCATCTTTGGCTCTCTGAGGCCGCTCGGGGCCTCTTGGAGGCCTCTCGGGTGCCTCTTGGAGGCCTCTTGGGGCTTCTTGCGGCGCTCTTCGGGCTCTCTTGGGAGCCTCTTGGGAGCCCTGCAAGGTCTCTTGGGGCCATCTTGGCGGCGGCCGGTCAAAAAAAGGGGGACACTCGATGTTCGTCCACCCCTCGGGGGCCACGCTCATCGTGAACGGTGTCAAGAATTTACCCTCCCAGGGGCCGAGAAAAAAGACCTTCTGACACCTCGCGGCCCCTCCCAAGAAACCTCAGGGAGGAGGGGGGGAGGAGGGTTCCCCTCCCCGGAGGTAAGAGGGGTTGTGGAATAGGAAAGAGACCCTCCTTGGACCACCTGTCGCCCAAAAGGCTGGTGGGATTCATGCTGGATCGCAGCCCTGGGAGCGCGGACGCAGCGTAGTTTACGTGGGATCGCGGCCCAGGGAGAGCGGTCGCAGCTTCATTTCCGATGGATCATGGCCCTGGGAGCGCGGACGCATTGTAATTGCACGACCCCTGGTGCGTCCCCTGGGACGTTCCGACTCCCGTCCCCCTGGCATGTCCCCTTGTCAATTAGCTCTGGGGCAGCTACTATTTGCTCAGGCAACTCGAGCTTAAGGTCCAGATCGGTCCGGTTAAGGACCCGGATGCAAAGGGGGACTCGATCCACAACGCTATAGAGCACAATCGCGGCATGGCACATCGCAAGTCAGCACGTCGCAGCACAGCACAGCCTTTGGCACTGTACGTCAAGATCGATACACAGCATTGCATTTGCCCGTTCCCAACCAGGTGTTCTGAAGACGTTGCCATGCCTCATGGTTCTGTATTCCTTTCCGGGTTTGTGGGCCGATCATGTTTCGAAAGGGACGGTTGGCCTATATAGCAGGCACCCAGTGAAAAGTGATCACGGGGCTCCCGCGCGTGATCCAGATGTTGGTGCAATTTGCACTTTGTATGCTTTTGTTTGCCAGGGATGGTGTGTGTGTGTGGGGGGGGCATTGTATACAGTAGGCAATATGCCGGCCCCGCCGTCCTTGTCAAAAACAACTGCAGAGTGGTCGCGGGGTTCCTGCGCATGATCCAGATTCTGGTGCAAACTGCGGTTATTGTCCCAGGAATGATGTGTGTTGGGAGTCTTGGCGTTGCATACGACAGGCAATATGTCTCCCACCGGGCGCCCGTGCATGATCCAGATTTTGGTGCAATGTGTTCGATGTCGTACTCTTGCAATGGATGGTGGAGAGGGGGGGTCGGCGTTGGCCCGGGTTTGTCATCGGTCGTGTGTGGGGGAGGGGGTGTAGATAAAAAAGTAGTAGTGATATGTCCTTTTCCCGAACAGGGGAAGGAGGGGCTTTGGAAGAGGGAAGAAAAGAAATCGTTATACCACTTGCGCCCAGAGTGCTTGTGGAATGCTAGTGATCTTGTTGAAATGAGTCGGACTTCAGAAGAAATGCTCAGTGAGTGGGGGGCCCACCTGCCAGTGTCGCCCGGGAGGCACTGGAGCCTTGCGTCTCGTTTTTCTTCGTGGAGCCTCCCTCAGAGCGCCGCCAGGGCTGGCCGGATGTTAGCACATATTCGCCTCAGATGTGTTTCGCACAAGACGCGGGAGGTGCAGCCCGCCTCCTTGCGCCGCTTGGAAGGCGATCTAAATCAAGAGGAAGGATGATGAGGTGGGAGCAGGCGGAGAACGAAGGTCTATGGCGCCGGCGTTCCTCGCTCGAGCGACCCGCCCCCTACCCCCGACGGCACGGGCGTCATGGCGTTGTCGGTCGCGCCCCTGCCCCTTGCGCCCCCGGCGAGAGGCTCGGCTGGCCAAGACACCTCGCATGCGGCCTCGATGGCGTCGTACGCTTCGTCATCGTGGTGGTTGTCGTGGTGCACATGGTGATCATGGTCGTCGTCTTCATCGACGACGTCGTCGTCATCGGCATGGTCGCCAGCATGGTCATCGTCGTCGCTGTTGTCCTTGTCGCTGTCGTCGTCGTCGTCGGGAGAGGAGAGGAGAGGAGGAGGAAGAGGAGGAGTGGAAGAGGAAGAGGAGGACCAGTACAATCCTAAGACGCATCAACGATGTTGCAATAACCGTCCCCCTCCACGTTCTCTCTTCACAGGTCCCTACAAGAAAGAGATGATTTTCATTGCGGGAAGTGCCCCGTTGAAGTTGATTCGTATGAGAATCGGCAATTTTGCAAAAAGCACCGTTGCTGGCACTTCGCCGCGAAGCCAAGTAACCGTCGCGTCCATTTGCGTCTTAACAGACCAGAGTCATGCCAGCATATCATCCCTGGCACCTCAACACCGTGAATCAACATGACTATGGCGTCCTGACCGTCATAGATCGTGCCAGACCTCACTTCTTGGGACTTCAACCGTACGATTCCTGGAAGCTGCTGTAACTCTTGCGCTTTGCGTATCCCCACCACTGCGGACGTTCTCTGACGGTCTTCGTTCTGGTCTTCCTCTAGGTGGAGTTGTGGACATCGCCCTCTCGGGGCTCGAGGTCATTTACCTCTTTGCATCGTTCGGTCCTCCTCTCAAGTCCTACTTGTTCGGCAAGTTTGCGGTGCACCGCCGCCCGCGTCTCCATCTTCCTGGGTCAGAGGGGCGCTCGTTCATCTCTCGCCGCCGTCGAGGCCCGCGTGTTCGGGAAGGCTACGTGAGGTACCTTGTGCAGCGCGGGCTTCACTGCATCTTCGCCGGGCTCGCTGTTCGGCTTCTCGGCACCTACATCGTGTTCCTGGTGCCGCTCCGCTACTTCGCGCCATTTTGGAAGCGTTGAGTCTCGCTCCGCACCGGGCGTCGCTCGTTGCTCTGTTTTTTCCTTTCGCAGGAAGCACAGCCCTGCCTGCCCCGCGTCCGACCAGCTTCGCGCGCCTGCGCACCCCACAATGATATCCTCACCAGCCCATTCAGAAACGATCGCCAAGATTATTGAAGCCTCTAGGAGGTTATCTAGAGCCATGCTCGGCCAGAGGCTGTGGGAGGCTATCTTGAGCTATGCTGAGGTATCTTGGGCCCCTCAAGAAAACCATCACTCCACCCAGGGGCCCGAGGGGTGGGTCGGGGATACATGTTGTTACTGTTCCCCTGTCGTCCCTCCTTCGGACTCGCTCCCACGCGAAACACGATCCACATAGGGCCCTAGACTGGCTCGTTTCGAGGTTTCGCGAGGTCCAGGGTCTTGCAGGAAAGCTGGCTGCAGGACAGTCTGGGCCGTCATCCTGCACGAGTGCGCCTCGCGTGTCCAGGGCAGCGCGCTCGCCTCGTACTTCGCTTGCCGAGCTCCTCAGGGTATTGATTCGTCTTGAACGTCACGGAGGACCTTTCAAAACCCACTGGCCACAGCATATGAGCTTTTGGCATTCGGTCACATTTGTTGTAGCAGCCAGGTGTGCCTCCTATATGAGCACGGGGCAGTGGGAGTACATTATCCGGCAGTCGGAGGAGTACGTCGATTTTGTGCACTTCTTTGCGGCGGAAGCCCTGCCCAAGCCAGAAACCATCCAGAGGCAGTCGTGGAGAGAGTGGTGTGACCAAGCCCTGGCCACGGCTTCGGGCAAAGGGGTTTTTCGTTATCTTCGGGAAAAGCCTTTGCTGGATGTTGACGTCACCGAGGGGCCAGACGGTTACACGTCCCTTCTATCAGGGCACCTCGATGGAGAATATGATCATTGGATGCGCACTTGGAAAGGGAGCCCCTCCCCATTGGAACAACCGTCCTGGCTTGAAGAGCTTCCCTCGATGGAGATCCCTGAGGCTGAAGACCCTGATGCCATTGCTTCTGCATCCAAGGCGTTCAAAAAGAACACGTGCCAACCAGACCGGGTACACCCCAGGCACTTCGCTCTACTATGCCGCCCGGCTCGGGCTGTCTTGGCGAAGATCTTCGTCCTCGTGGACGCTTTGGGGGTCCACCCGGTGCAGTTGCAGGAGGTCCTTATCCTCCTGGCCCGCAAAGCAAAGGGGCCAGGTCGGCGACCGATTGGCCACTTTCCTGCATTTCCTCGTCTGAAAGGGCGGCTTTTGGCACAGAGGCTCCGCTCCTGGGATGCTCAGATGGGAGGGGGGCCAGCCTTCAGCATGGGGAAGGGGCGCTCGGTGGAGGACACTGTCTGGAGGCAGGCAGTGCGCGCCGAATCTGCAGCCACTTCCAGAATGCACTTCCTGGCTTTGTTTTGGGATGTCAAACAATTTTACGAACATATTGTCCACAAGGGTCTTGCCGATCAATGTGGTGTCTCAGGTTTTCCCTGGTATATTTTGGCCCAGACTGTACGGTCATACCGATGGCCTCGGCGCATTTTCTTGGAAGGGATCCTGAGTGCACAGATGTGGCCGGATGAAGGTATCATAGCCGGTTCTGCCACAGCGACCTTCGAAGCGAAAGCATATTTGATCCCTCTGCTCCAGGATCCTGCTGTGTCTGTCACTTGGCAGGCGAGCGAGGGCACAGGCGCGACGGTACACATCGATGACATGGGCTTGTTCTCTTGGAACACCCTCATCGAAGACTGCGTGGACCACATGGTGACGCTTGCGACTCGCATGTACTCTGGTTTGGAGAGGGCAAATCTTTCCCTTGCTATGCGTAAGGTCTGCACCACTGCCTCGTCGGCCAAGTTGTTGGACGCGGCTCGGAAACGTCTCCCTGCCGAGCTCTTTGGTACTGGGGTTCACTCTGCGGCCAACCTTGGCATTGATTTCTCTGCAGGGAAGGCAAAAGGTACCAAGTGAGTATTGCGAGGCCAGCGGTGGACCAAGGCACGGGGTCGCATCCGCAAGCTCCGCAACATCAAGCTGACCTCCCCCACTCGCAAGGGTAAGAGCATCAAGCCCAGGTTCTTCAAAGCGTCCGTGCAGTCTGGACTTGCGTTCGGGGGCAAGGTTCACGGCTATACCCCCTCGGAGCTCGTTCGCCTTCGTCAACATGTCAGGGGTCTGTCAGGGCACCCTGCACCTGGGGCCCACGTTGATATCTGGTGGGCGTTTGCTCCGGAGCAGGACCCCATGGACCTGGGTGCTAGTACCCTCTGGCGGTATTGTTACGAGTGGTGGATGTTGTCTGGCACGTCGCCACTCCAGCACAGGCATGCCGACATCATGACAGCCAAGGAGTTGCGCAATGCTTTCGAGAGGGCTGTTTTGCATCTCAGGAACACCAAGAAAACATCGTGGCTTGGAAAATCCCGCGGTCCTCTCACTGAGATGCTGCAGTGGGTCGCTCAGGCGGGATGGTCGTTCCAGGATGCTACCCATCTTGTGAGCCCAGAGGGGCAGGCCTACTCTCTCCTTGAGTTTCCTCCCCAGTGGCGCACCTCCCTTTTTAACGAAAGCATTAAATCTCGTAGTCTGCAGGCTGCTGTTATATCTAAGCTGGGCGTGAATCCTCACCCCTACGGGCAAGCAGTGCTCGATCAGGGAATGTGGAGAATCCAAATCTGCCGAGTGCTGAGGCAAGCCAGGAGGAAGCTCAGCACTCGGGAGATGTCGTGCGTGCATGGGCTCTTGGGGGATTGTTTAGTTACTGCCACCCTCTTGTCCAAGTGGGATTATAATATTTCCCCGGCATGCCCGCACTGCAACGATGGTACTTTAGACACGCCGTTCCACCGACTCTGGGAGTGCCCTCGTTGCGGGCCCCTCCGAGACCAAGAGCTGGGGAAATTTGTCGAGCGGGCAGTTGCTGCAGGCCACACCCATCCGCTCTATGCGCATTTGTGGCTTGCTGCCCCTGATGTCGACCCCCCAATGGTAGATTGGGGGTTTGCCTACAGAGATGGGCAGGGGCCGTGCGGTAAGTTCCAATTCGATCCCAGCCGGCCCACTTATGTTGATGGTTCGTGCCTCAATCCCGGGGTGGACATGCTGGAGAGAGGAGGTCTGGCGGCATGCCAGATAGATGATGATGGCAACCTCCTGCGCGCTGTTTCGTCTCCGCAGCCGCGGATTCTGCCCCAGCATGCTGTCCATTGTGAGCATTCTGGGCTTGTCATGGCCGGGCTGCATTCGGATCTGGCGCAGTCTCCAGAGTTTGCTGTGGACTGCAGGGCCCTCTTCAAAGGGATCACACAGCCGGCCTCTAGCCTGAAAGGCGCCACCTTGTTCAGCCACTACTGGAGGGTACTGGCCCATGCCACGCCAGGACCCTGGATTTCTTCATCACATGTCAAAGCTCATCGTAGCCTAGACGACGCTGTCTCTGAACAGGACCGTGTTCGTATCCTCGGCAACAAAATGGCCGACACTCTGGCCAAAGAGGCGGCGGGCAAGCATGACCTTGATCCCACCACCCGCTCAGACACGACGATTGCTCTTGAAGAGTTTCTGGAGCTCGTGATTAGTGCAGGGAGGGTGCTTGCTAGCTGGCCTCCTGCGCGTGAGTACTTTGGCCCCCTGTCCAAGGTCCTTCGGCCCCGCCCTCCTCCCCGCCCTTTTGTCTCCTCCCACACCCCCACCTGGACAGGCAAGGGCTATCGTTGCACCACGTGTTTAAAACGCATCGCCCCTCACTGCAGAAGGCAGTGCTCTCAAGAATATCCTCATGCCCTCACAGATGCAATCAATCAGCGCCGTGCCCTTCACCATTCCCTCGATATGGGATGGATTGATGGGAGCAGCATGCCAATTATTTATTGCACACTGTGTGGGGGTTACAGCATGGGGAGGGGTACAAAGCTCCAACAGCCCTGCCTCAGTGAAGACCACCGCAGGTGTCAGAATGAGAGGGGTTCTCTGGCACCGGGGCCCCCCCGGGTCAGCAGCGAGCTCCGCAAGCTCCGCCGGGGCGAAGTGCCTGGGACCA